CTTTCTTTCTTTCTTTCTTCCTTCCTTCCTTCCTTCCTTCCTTCCTTCCTTCCTTCCTTCCTTCCTTTTCTTCCTTCCTTCCACTTTCCTTTCCTTCCTTCTGTCTTTCTTTCCTTCTTTCTTTGCATATGCAAAGCCCAACCACTCTCTTTCCAGAGAGACACAGGCCTGGAACAGGAGCCAGATGTTCCTGCTGACAACGCAAAGCTTGGCCGGGAGGGTAAGAGGGAGAGGAGCGCTAGGGATGACTTCTAGAAGCCGGAGGGCTTCCTTAGGATCCCCGCCTCCTCACATCAACTCAACTTTCAAAGGAGACATTTAATTTAGCGGGGTTTGGTTGCCTTCTCCACCTGAATCTCATTTTCCTTTCTTTGAATGCCAGTTTTTTTTTCCCAAGGGAAAAGATGGGTGATTTCCCAGGGGTGATTAATACCAACAGGTGCTATGAGTCTTAGCTTTTCACTCACCTCATCCCAGGTAACAGAAAATAACAGAATAACAGAATTGGAAGGGACCTTGGAGGTCTTCTAGTCCAACCCTTCTCAAGCAGGAAATTCTACCCCATTTCAGACAAACGGATGCCCAGTCCCTTCTTAAAAGACTCCAGTGACGGAGCAGCCACAACTTCTGAAGGCAAGACATTCCCCTGATTAATCCTTCTCCCTCTCAGGACATTTCTCCTGATTTCTAAGTTGCTTCTACTCCTTGGTTAGTTTCCACCCGTGGCTTCTTGTCCTGCCTCCTGAAGGTGCTTTGGAGAAGAGCTTGACTCCCTCTTCTTTGGGGCAGCCCCTCAGATACTGGAAGGCTGCTATCATGTCCCCCCCTGGTCCTTCTTTTCATTAAACTACACAGACCCCAAATTCCTGCAACCGTTCTTCGTATGTTTTAGCCTCCAGTCCCCTGATCACCCTGGTTGCTCTTCTCTGCTGGAATACCAAACTGGAGTCTCCCAGTTGGTAAACAAACCCCCAAAGGCCAAAGAAAGGGCAGGAGAATGTGCCAGGGAGGATGGCCACCATGTTCACTGGTCACACCTGGAGAGGCGTCTATTCCAGAAAGAATAGACAACCTCTGACGTGTATCACATTCTGTTTATTGTGGCTCTCGGCAATGTGGCTTGTACAAACGACAGGGTTTGATTGAGGATTTATTTCCCTCACTCTCGAAGCCCCACCCATCCCGATTTAACCACGCCCACATCCACAGCAGAAAGCGTCCTCACATATTGCATGACGGTGCGCTATGCTGGCTTGACAGCCGCGGATAGAAAGACACTACAGAGGGTGGTGAGCACAGCACAAAAACCTCACGTGGGGTGTTCCTTGATACCTGTGGGGACCCGGGGCGTTGACACAAAAGTAGAAAAGGTCCCTTTAATGCCTCCAACTTGGTCCCAATGTCCAATTATCCCCAACTAGATATCAAACTCTTTAAGAAAACAGTTGTCTTGTCAGAAGGTTGACAAAGGGGATGACGCAACCCCGGGGACGCCGCGCCCATCACAAAATATGAATCTGAATTTTGATCACGTGACCGCAGAGACACCACCACAGTCATGTGACCCAGAGGGTCACAAGTCGCTTTTTTCAGCGCCGTTCTAACCTCAAATGGCCACTAAGTCGTAAGTCAAGGACTGCCTGCCCCCGTCCTTAGAGGAGATTGACTTTGGCTACTACCGGTTTGCAGCCAGTTCTTCCAAATTCCTTCCCTGCCTTTTTGTAATAGCTGAGCTGGCCAGCCAAGCGTTGGATGTGGCTGGCGTTTGGGTAAATCCCTTCGCTCATCATCTCCTCGTAGAAGCAGTTCAAGATGTGGTCTTTCTCCAACAACCCGAAGGGGACAATCTCCACCCCTGCCCAGAAAGGGTGGACGTGGCTCAGGATGGGCCGAAGAGCGGACTGAAGCTCTTCCAGGTCCTTCTGAGGCCGCGACGAGTCGTTGGACACGTTCTGGAGGAAATGGTGGGTGATTTCCTCTCCTCCCAGGTTGCTGATGAGAATGTAGACGGCATTGAGGTATTCGTTGGTTTGGTTCTTCTGAAAGAACCTGCCCAAGGTCTCCAACAGAGTTTGGGGCATGAATTCCACCTCATCCAGAATAAACATGGGGATGAACTCTTCCACTTCGGCTTGAGCCGCCATGTCTCTGATGGTGTCCGATAACTCCGACTGGCAGGTGTGGATGGAGGTTTTGACGGGGCAGTGGTGCGCCGTGAAATAATGGAGCACTGAATGGGCTCCCACCACCGAGCGGAAGTGCTTTGCCAGAAGCCAACCAAGGTGGCTCTTCCCAACACCGCTCGGACCGTTGAAAGAGACAACCAAAGGTTTGTTATGGACGTGGGTGGCCAGGTAATCCTTCAGCAACCCCATGACCCTTTCAATGACCAAGGGCTGCCCGAAAACCTCCCGAGCCATGGTCTTCTCCAAGCCATCCAGGTCGTACTTCAGGAGGTTATCATCCAGGTTCTCAATGGCGTTGAGGATCTGGAAGCAAATGATGGCCACAAACAAGAGGAGGAACCTCTTGGCTTTGCTCCCGTGTTCGGCGGGCAGGTATTTCTTGGAGCTTTCGGGATACAGCACCCGGGGGTTCCTCGATTTCTTCTTACGCCGTTTTGGTTTGGTCACCAGGAGCGGGTCAGCGGGATCAAACGTGAAATACTGGGAACTGTTCAAAGAGGCTTGGTTGGAGAGGCTTGTTAATTTGCCTTTCCCCAAGGAGATCTGTCTCTGGAGAAGTTTGTCCCCGGGCAAATAGCCTTTTTTAAAGGCGTGGGCTGTCCTCCGAAGACGAACCACAGCTCGTACCGGAGAAGAAAGCCAAGAAAGTTTCTGCGGGTTTTTGACAGGACTCTTTCGGCTTTCCATCTTGACCTCTTCCTGCTGGTGAGACGTTTCTGGAGAGAGAGAGAGAGCAAAGGACATATAAGGAAAATAAAATAAAATGTCTATTTGACTTTAAACAAGACAAAATAGAATGAAGTAAAGTTAACCTAAGAACAGTTCACAAAATTGCCCGCTATGACGCCTTGCCCGTCAACGACTTCTTCAGCCTCAACTGCAATAATACAGGGTCAAACAACTGATGCAAACTCAAGGTGAACCGCTCCAAACTCGACGGTAGAAAATACGACTTCAGCAACAGATAACAGATAACAATCAGAGTTGGAAGGGACCTTGTAGGTCATCTAGTCCAACCCAAGAAGGAGACCCTACCCCATTTCTGACAGATGGCAGTCCAGTCTCTTCTTGAAAGTCTCAAGTGATGATGCTCCCAACAGAGTGGTCAACGCCTGAAACGCCCTACCTGACTCCGTTTTTACAGCCTCAACAACCCCTCGTAGCTTCAACCTCAAACTGTCTACCATGGACCTCACCCCCTTCCTAAGAGGACCTTGAAGGGGGCGTGCATTAGCGCACCAGCGTGCCTCTACCGTCCCTGTCCCACCGACCCCATTTCTCTGTATTTACTCCCTTTGTTCTTGTGGATGTTGATACCTACACTTGTTATCTTGTGCATGTTTGACAAACAAACGAATCAGGGCCTGGCACTACGCCGTACCTCGTGGTAGAGCAACACCTCTTGAAGGCTATGGGTAGACTTTCTCTCTCCGTCTATGGGAAGGAAAGGCCTCCTAGCTAGGCTGTGAACATCTGGAGGGCCGTTCTGTGGTCTTCCCAGCCCTCTGCTGGTCATCTGTATTTCTGCAGCCCAGGGTAGCTCTGGGAGCACACACAGGTACCCTTCCCGGGACGTTGCAACCGTCGTGAGTACATGCCAGTTGCCAAGCCTCTGAATTTTGATCACGTGACCATGAGAAAGCCGCAATGGTCCTAAGTGTGAAAAACGTCGCTTTTTTTTTGTTTTCAGTGGCATCGTAGCTTCGAACGGTTGCTTAAGCCCTCTGCTGTAAATCCAGGACTGTTGCCTGCATTCTGGACGTGTTCGACCTCTAGAGCTTCCATTATACCTCTGCATGAGTTACTGAGCCAAGTTTTGTCGTGTGTGTGTGTGTGTGTGTGTGTGTGTGTGTGTGTTCCAGCATAACTCTTGAACGCCTTGAGCAGTATTAACCAAACTTGGTACACAGATTGCTCTCTAGAAACAAATACTGTGTGTGTGTGTGTGTGTGTAAGACATCCCTAACACCCCTTGGGATGATGTGTTTTGTTAAGATACAGCCTGTTGTGCCTTCAGGTGGCTTCTACCATACAGCCATAAAATGGCTTCTACTGCACGGCGCTGTGGAGTTGCCATGGTAACGGCTTCACAGTACTCCACAAAGGGGGGTTCTCTCTCTGGTAAAGGGGGAAAATCCAACATTAGAAATGACATTTGTTCCGGTTCATTGTCGCCGAAACCAGGGCTTTTCCTGTCTAATACAGGATTAGAATAAATAAATACCCGGGCAATGCCAGGTTATCAGCTCGTCTAATCTCTTACAACCCAAAAGTCAAAGTTCTTTTCCACCTCGGGCACAAAATCCAGAAGCATGGAAACAAAAGCGTGGATGTTCTTTTCTTTCCTCCGAGAAGCCAGTTTTGCCATTTCAGCAAGCCCCAACCTGCAAGATTGTGTCCTTTCGAATTGTTCCCTTTTTGTCCCCTGCTCATCCCGGTCTGTAAGCCGGCTAGCTTTGGTAAGCAATGAATTTCTCGGGAACTTTGCGGACTTGTACAAACACAGCAACCTGGCTCCAGACCTGGGTCACCCTAGTAAGGCTTGTGAAAGCACACACGTCAATCTCAGACGGCACAGGTTGCATCTGGCAATTATCTCTGCTGGAGAAGGCTCTGCCCCCTCCCAATAATTATTAACTTTCACTCCTGGGGTGGAGTTGGGGGTTGAAGAACTCAGCAAACCAGTTGGATTTCATTCCAGGTTTGCCAACGTCCCAGAGCTGCCTGTTTAGTACGGAAGGAGGAAAGGAACTAGGAATCAGTTTGAATTTCGGCTCTTTAAATTTGCAAAATGACAACAACAACAAAAAAAGGGAGGTTACGGGTTTGTCCTCGACTTACGACAGTTCAAAGTTGCGACGGCCCTGCCCAACGCAACCGATGGCCGTTTTCCACGGGCCGTTGCATCCTTTGCAGCTTGCCCCGCGTCCCTGTGAACAACACTCAGAGGCTTGGCAACTGATCCACACTTATGGCCGTTGCAGTGACGCCCTTTAGCGACCTGCCAACAAGCAAATTCAAGCGGCGGGGGGCGGGGGGGGACCAGATTTGCTTAACAACGGGCGACTCACTTATCGAGGGCAATGCTTCCCTTAAGGACTTGTGTCAAGAACGGCAAAATTCACTTAACCCCTGTCTGGCTTAACGACAGAAATTTCGGGTTCAGTTTTAGTCGTCAGTCAAGACTCCCTGTATTTCGCTTGCAAGATTGCAATTGCTCCAAAGGATTTCTGCTGGTTTAGTGGTGTTTATTTTCCCCAATTGCTTGTTCAAGCTTTCTCTTGCAAATGCCTCCGTAATTTTATCTCACTTAAGGCAAAAAATAAAAATATATATTCCTCCTCATTTTCATCTCCCACGGCTTCTGACTTTTCTTCCTTTCACCTGCTTTGCAGGGGGCAAGTTTTGCAACGCTGCTGGGTTCGGGGTTCTTAAATAGGGAGCCCCTTTCCTAAAACGAAGGCCAGTAGGTGTTGCAAGAGGTGAACATTCCCAGCATGATTTGCAGACGGGTTCAGAGTTCGATGATGGGAGCCTGTTTTGCTAAACTCGCTTCCTAGCAAATCTCCCCCTCCGTTTCTTCGCCGGTCGGAATCGGAAATGAGTCATTGCCACGAAGAGGCAGGGGGAAAGAAAGAAAGAAAAACGAAAAGAAACTATCTGAAAAGCTGGGTCGCCAACTGATCTTTCCTGGCTCTGTCCTTCTGCTTTGAACAGGCTCGGCAAAGCAGTGAGGGTTGGGTTTTTTTTTTTCCCAGGCACGAGGGATGAGGTCCATTTTAAGCTGAATTAATTTATTTATTTGCAAAAGGGAGAAAGAAAGCGCAGAGCAAAAGACAAGCTTACTCCGGAACGCTCTACATGCGCAGGAATGTTCCTAACAGGAATACAGGTTAGAACTTTCTCAGAATAACAAAGTTGGAAGGGAACTTGGACCTTCTAGTCCAAGCCCCAGCTGAGGCAGGAGACCCTAGATCCATCGTGGGCAAACGGCTGTCCAATGTCTTCTTGAAAACCTCCAGGGATGGAGCATCCCCTGTTGCCATGACGAGGCAGTCGAGTTGTTTGATCATGGTCAACTGAATCACGATCAACTTTATTGGAGTCTAGTCTTGCATTTATACACATTTTTAGTTATCCTCCAACATTGGTTAACTTTGGTTACTGCTTAACTTTCCTTACTGTTTAGCATAGTAATTAACACAATTAATTATCTCTAGTTAAAGTCTTAACATAGGTTGACTTCCTCTCCCTAATCCTCCTTTAGATTAGTGACTTTGTTTGCCTGAGTTGTATTTGCTTGGAAACGTTCTTGATCTGAGGTTTGCCCTCCGAGATTGGAACATTCCTGCAATTACAACTCTACAATCCACAACATCTGAAGGCAAGTTGTCCCACTGGCTAATTGTTCCCAGTGACAGGAAGTTTCTGCTTAGTTTCAGGTTGCTTCTCTCCTTGATCAGTTTCCATTCATTGCTTCTTGTCCTGTCCTCAAATGTTTTGGAAAATAGACTCCTTCTTCTTTGGGGGCAGCTCCTCCAACGTTGGAACGCTGGTAGTTAGTCCTTACGTGAAAAATGTTCTCAGCCTCTTGTGACTCTAAAGCACTAGTTTCTCTGGGGAAATTCATTTGCAAAGCAAAGAAGTGTGTGTGGGTGTGTGTGTGTGCAAAGTTCAGCGTTTGTTATCAGCAGCATGCCCCGTTCTGAAAAACCCATTTCGGCCAGTTGCAAAGAGGCGCTGAAGGATCCATTTTCGGCAGTGGTTGTATCAACTAATGGGATGACAACACCTGCCTCTCCCCATAACTGAAAAGCTTTGTGCGTTATTTATTTCCCAGCTTATTGTGAAATTACACGGCTCCAAAGGGCGTCAACACCCTTTGGCTACAGGTGCATCTATAGCTAGGTGAAGATATTTCTTGGTCAAAAAAAATGCCTGCCACATGTGAATGATAACCAGCAGAATATTTGTCGCTCGGGGCTGAACTGTGGGCGCTCTTGGTGCTGTCTGGGCTTGGTGATTTTCCTTGCAGATGTTTCATTACCCCACTAGGGTACATCATCAGTACTAGAAGAAGTAGGGGTTTGCAGGGAGGAGGAAGAGGAGGAGGACAATGACTGTGGGATCCTGGGTGCTCTCTGAGCTTGGTGGTTTGGTTTCTTTGCAAACGTTTCATTACCCAACTAGGTAGCATCATCAGTACTAGAAGGGAGTGGGATTTGCAGGGAGGAGGAGGAGGAGGAGGAGGAGGAGAAAGACTGTGGGGTCCTTGGTTCTCTCTGAGCTTGGTAGTTTCCTTGCGGATGTTTCATTACCCAACTGGGTAACATCATCAGTGCTAGAAGGACGTGGTGTGTGTGGAGAAGAGGAGGAAGAGGAGGACTGTGGGGTTCTTGGTGCTCTCTGAGGTTGGCGGTTTCCTTGCAGGTGTTTCATTACCCAACTAGGCAACATCATCAGTGCTGATGCCACCACTGATTACCACTGGTGATGCTCCCTAATTGGAGCACGAAACGTCTGCAAGGAAACCACCGAGCGCAGAGAGCGCCAAGGATCCCACAGTCCTCCTCCTCCTCCTCCTCCTCCTCCTCCCATTCCCTTCTAGCACTGATGATGTTACCTAGCTGGGTCATGAAACGTCTGCAAGGAACCAACCAGGCTCATAGAGTGCTAAGGACCCCACCATCTCTCCCTCCTCCTCTTCCTCCTCCTCTTCCTCCTTTTTCTCCTCCTCTTCACACACACACCATTCCTTTCTAGCACCGTTGAGGCTAGTTGGGTCAGGAAACATCTGCAAGCAAACCACCAAGCTGACTGAACCCTGTATCTAACCAGAGAGCAAAGCCACCCCTTACCAGCACTGATGCTTCTACCTAGCTGGGCGAGGTGACACCTGCAAGCAAAGAACCGAAGACACCCCTCCCCCACACACAAAGGCTCCATTCCCCAAAGTGCCACCTCCCCCTCCAACATGACCTGCAGCCTTTGCACCTCGAAGCTTCCCCTCCCCCTCCCTGACCCTCCCCCTCCCCCCCCCCCAGAAAAGGGG